GACACTACACTACACTACGCTACACTTCACTACACTACTGGACACTACACTACACTACTGAACACTACCCTACATTACACTACTGGACACTACACTACACTACACTACACTACTGGACACTACACTACACTACGCTACACTTCACTACACTACTGGACACTACACTACATTACTGGACACTACACTACACTACTGGACACTACACGACACGACGCAACAAGTGACAAGTGATGGCTGACGCTACGCTACGCTCCACTCCACTCCACTCCACTACGCTACACTCCACTACACTACACTACACTCCACTCCGCTCCACTACGCTCCTCTCCACTCCACTACACTACACTACACTACACTACACTAAACTACACTACACTACACTACACATCTCTCCACTACACTACACTACAATACACCACATACCCCATCCCGCTCCATCCCCACCACTCTCCACACTACACTACACTACACCACACACCCCATCCAACCCCACCCACATCACTCTCCACAATACACTACACTACACTACACTACTGGACACTACACTACACTACACTACTGGACACTACACTACACTACACTACAGTACACTACACTACTGGACACTACACTACACTACTGGACACTACACTACTGGACACTAGACTACACTACTGGACACTACACTACACTACACTACACTACACGACAAGACACGACACTACACTACACTGCACTACTGGACACTACACCACACCATACTACACTACACTACTGGACACTCACACTACACTACTGGACACTACACTACACTTCACTACACTACTGGACACTACATTACACTACACTACACTACACTACTGGACACTACACTACACTACACTACTGGACACTACACTACACTACTGGACACTACTGGACACTACACTACACTACACTACACTACTGGACACTACACTACTCACACTACTTCTACACTACACTACACTACACTTGACACTACACTACACTACACTACTGGACACTACACTACACTACACTACTGGAAACTACACTACAGTACACTACACTACTGGACACTACACTACACTACTGGACACTACACTACACTTACACGACACGACACGACACTACACTACACTGCACTACTGGACACTACACCACACCATACTACACTACACTACTGGACACTACACTACACTACACTACTGGACACTACACTACACTTCACTACACTACTGGACACTACATTACACTACACTACACTACTGGACACTACACTACACTACACTACTGGACACTACACTACACCGTACTACACTACACTACTGGACACTACACTACACTACACTACTGGACACTACACCATACTACACGACACTCACACGACACTTACACACTACACTACACTCAACTACTGACACTACACCACACCATACTACACTCACACTACTGGACACTCACACTCACACCACACTACTGGACACTAGCACCACACCCCTCACTACACTATTGGACACTACATTACACTACACTACACACTACTGGACACTACACTACACTACACTACTGGACACTGGACACTAGCACTACACTACTGGACACTACACTACACTACACTACTGACACTACACTACACTACAGCCACTACCCTTCACTACACTACACAACACTACACTACACTACACTACACAACCCTACACTCACACTACACCACACTACTGGACACTACACTACACTACACTACACTTCACTACACTACTGACACACTCACACTACACCACCAGCACAACACTACACTACACTACACACTACACTACACTACACTACTGGACACTACACTACACTACACTACACTACTGGACACTACACTACACTACGCTACACCTCACTACACTACTGGACACTACACTACACACTGGGACACTACATTTACGACACTGACGCTACGCGATGACGCGACGGGCATGCTGCTACACCCGCCTCCACCCACTCCACTTCCACTCCACTGCACTCCACTCCACTCCACTTCACCTGGCTCCACTCCACTACAATACACTACACTACACTAAACTACACTACACACACTACAACACACCACTCTCCACTACACTACACTACACTACACTACACTACACTACACTACACTACACTACACTACACTACACTACACTACACCACATACCCCATCCCGCTCCATCCCCACCACTCTCCACACTACACTACTCAACACTACACCACACGTCCCATCCAACCCCATTCCCAATAACACTCCACACTACACTACACTACACTACAGTACTGGACACCACTTCACTACAACTACACTACACTACTGGACACTACACTACACTACACTACACTACTGGAAACTACACTACACTACACTACTGGACACTACACTACACTACACTACACTACTGGACACTACACTACACTACTGGACACTACACTACACTACTGGACACTGCACTACACTACACTACTGGACACTACACTACACTACACGACACGACACGACACGACACGACACGACACGACACGACACGACACGACACGACACTACACTACACTACGCTCCACTCCACTCAACTCACTCCACTCCACTCCCACTCCACTCCACCTACTCCACGCACTACACTACACTACACCCCCATCCCACCCTTCTACCCCAACGACTCTACACGCTACACTACACTACACTACACTACACCACAATCCACTACACTACACAACACCAAACACCCAATCCCGCTCCATCCCCACCACTCTCCACACTACACTACATCACGCTACACTACACTACACTACACTACACTACACTACACTACACTACACTACATCACACTTCACTACACTACACCACACTACACCACACCACACCACACCACACCACACCACATCACACCACACCACACCTTACCACACAACACTACACTACACCACACACACAGTACACTACATTACACTATACCACACTACACTACACTACACTACTGGACACTACACTACACTACACTACACTACTGGACACTACACTACACTACTGGACACTACACTACACTACACTACACGACACTACACGACACGACACTACACTACACTACACTACTGGACACTACACTACACCATACTACACTACACTACTGGACGCTACACTACACTGACACTACTGGACACTACACTACACTACACTACACTACTGGACACTACACTACACTACACTACTGGACACTGCACTACACTACTGGACACTACTGGACACTGCACTACACTACACTACTGGACACTACACTACTGGACACTCTCACACGACACGACACGACACGACACGACACGACACGACACGACACGACACGACACGACACTACACTACAACCCTACGCTCCACTCAACTCCACTCCACTCCACTCCACACACTACACTACACTACACACCCCATCCCACCCCATCCTCACTTCACTCTCCCACGCTACACTACACTACACTACACTAAGTATTCACTACACTACACCACAATCCACTCACAGCACTACACTACACCAAACACCCCATCCTGCCTCCATCCCCACCACTCTCCACACTACATTACATTACACTACACTACACTACGCTACACTACACTACACTACATCACACTACACTACACCACACTACACTACACCACACCACATCACACCACACCACACCTTACCACACAACACTACACTACACCACACTACACTCCATTACACTATACCACACTACACTACACTACACTACTGGACACTACACTACACTACACTACACTACTGGACACTACACTACACTACACTACTGGACACTACACTACACTACACTACACAACACTATACTACACTACACTACTGGACACTACACTACACTACTGAACACTACACTACACCACACTACTGGACACTACACTACTGGACACTACACTACACTACACTACTGGACACTGAACACTACTGGACACTACACTACTGGACACTACTGGACACGACACGACACCACACCACACCACACCTTACCACACAACACTACACTACACCACACTACACTACATTACACTATACCACACTACACTACACTACACTACTGGACACTACACTACACTACACCACACTACTGGACACTACACTACACTACACAACACTATCCTACACTACACTACTGGACGCCACACCACACTACACTACTGGACACTACACTACACTACTGGACACTACACTACACTACTGGACACTACACTACTGGACACTACACTACACTACACTACACTACACTACACTACTGGACACGACACGACACGACACGACACGACACGACAGTACACTACACTACACTACACTACACTACACTACACTACACTACACTACACTACACTACACTACACTACACATATCACACCACACCACACCACACCGCGCTACACTACACTACACTACACTACTTTACACTACACTACACTACATTACACATCCCACTCCCTACTCGGCTCCGCTCAACTCCACTCCACTCCACTCTTCTCCACTCCACTCCACTCCACTCCACTCCACTCACTGTGCCTACCAGTACCTATCAAAGTATATGCCTCGTATTCAAGGAGGCACTTTATTTGACGTTAGAGAAATTGAAACATCGAACATGCGTACATTAAGAATCAAACAAAGTTTATTTTTACAGAAACAAAATTGGGATGTGATCTGTTCAGGAAATAGAGAGTGTCTCTTCAAAATGAAACATACAACTTTATGGATGACAACTTCTTGGGTGAGTGTGTTTAGTTTTACGCCGCACTCAGCAATACTCCAGATATATGGCGGCTGTCTGTAAATAATCGAGTCTGGACCAGATAATCCAGTGATCAACAGCATGAGCATCGATCTGCGCAATTGGGAACCGATGACATGTGTCAACCAAGTCAGCGAGCCTGACCACCCGATCCCGCTAGTCGCCCCTTACGACAAACATGGGTTACTGAAGATCAATTCCAACCCAGATCTTCACGGGTAACAACTTCTTGATCTATTGCATAGAGCAACGTTTCGATGTAGATTCTTGCATCGTTATGAAGATAAGAGTGCCTACAACCAAACGGTGAGGAGCATATATACATGGTATGTTAAGACAAGCAGCAGATTTACATAAACAACAGCAGGTAATTGAATAACAAGTGGAACATTACTGTAACAGGCCAGTAGGGGACTTAGACCAACAATAGCACAGGTGATGAAGCCAATGAACAATGAGGATGAATTAAGTAGTAACAACAGGCTAATTGGCACCTTTTGACTCAGGATCTTCTAGAATACCGATCAAACAAAATGTATCTCTTGTTAGGAGGAATGTTGCAATGTTTGTGTCGACTCAGTAGACGCGTTTGCCCTGAACTGGAGATATATATCTCACAGCTGCCCCGCCTGTATATACAGGTGAACTGTACGCTACATTACGTCTGTCTGAGACGGGTCCTTCTTCAATTGAGCTGTACCCTCCATGCAGCTCACGTCTATCTGAGACGGGTCCTTCTTCAGGAGAGCTGATCCCTCCATGCAGCTCACGTCTATCTGAGACGGGTCCTTCTTCAGGAGAGCTGTACCCTCCATGCAGCTCACGTCTGTCTGAGACGGGTCCTTCTTTAGGAGAGCTGTACCCTCCATGCAGCTCACGTCTGTCTGAGACGGGTCCTTCTTCAATTGAGCTGTACCCTCCATGCAGCTCACGTCTATCTGAGACGGGTCCTTCTTCAGGAGAGCTGATCCCTCCATGCAGCTCAAGTCTATCTGAGACGGGTCCTTCTTCAGGAGAGCTGTACACTACATCATACATCTCACATCCTACGCCTTGGTTCCTATGATGCTCTTGTTGGTCCATCCTTGAGTGACACTGGTCAGCTTCAAGCGACCACTCCGAGTCCTGGCTCCTCCCGCTGTTGTCCCAGGCAGGTTCTGCTTGGCTGCCACTGTGATGTTAGGGAAAACTGTTAATACATTTTTCACAAGGAAACATAAGCCATATTTATATTTACAAGTTTCCCATAGGGTGAGTGAGTGAGTGAGTTTGGTTTTACGCCGCTTTTAGCAATATTCCAGCAATATCACGGCGGGGGACACCAGAAATGGGTTCACACATTGTACCCATGTGGGGAATCGAACCCGGGTCTTCGGCGTGACGAGCGAACGCTTTAACCACTAGGCTACCCCACCGCCCCTGAGTACTTTGGTTTGGTGTGAAGGACAATGCGATGCTGTTAGTGTTATGTAATGTGCTGTAAGACAATGTAATGTTTCTGGTACAAATCACTCGAGGTTCATAAGATTTTCGGACAAAGGGTAGTTGTCAAGAATATGTTACTATCTGTAAGCAGTAGATTGCAAGTGCTACAATTAGATACGCTTGGATCCAAGAGTACTATGGAACCTTTCCAATAGGGGAATTTCTGGACGATTTTATGAAGGGAACAAGCGCATGTCTCGAGAAACTATCATTATATGAGTGAGTATGGTTTTACGCCGCTTTTAACAATATTCCAGCAATATCAGGGCGGGGGCACCAGAAATGGGCTTCACACATTGTACCCACGTGGGGAATCGAACCGGCGTGACGAGCAAACGCTTTAACCACTAGGCCACCCCACCGCCCCTACCATTGTCTGAAGATAACATTTCCAACACGGATATCCAACCTAAGAGTGAGTGAGTGAGTTAATATTTAACGTCACATCGGCAATATTTCAGCCATATCGTGACGATCCAACCTAAGAGCTAATTTGGACGCTTGATAACACTTGCTGGCTGGTAATATATTATCACTGACGTTATTATCATTACCATTGTATTATACTGTCATGGTCATTCTATTGATGCTGGAGTATGTACCTGCACTAATATTTACTCTCCGAGGGTTTTGTTTGATAACGCGTGAAGGTCCGGGTTAGAATTGGTCTTCAGCAACCCATGCTTGTCGTAAGAGGCGACTAACGGGATCGGATGGTCAGGCTCGCTGATTTGGTTGACACATGTCATCGTATCCTAAGTCGATGTGAAAGTCGATGCTCATGGTTTTGATCACTGGTTTGTCTGGTCCATATTGCTAATTGCGATGTTAAACAACAACCAAAACCAAACCTATTGTTTTGTTTGTAAAACTAGTTATTTAAATCACAGGTTTTACTATTATAACATATTAATTTTCTGTTGGTTCTACACTCGATGCTTCTCCGTATAGATTCTAAGGTTAACTTACTGCTTCAATTCGGATATCATCAGGAACTAGATCCCAGGCTTACCGTCGACAGCACCTGCATTTGCAGAACCGACAGCAAATAGCCAATATGATTACAAACATCGCCGTTGTCGGTAGTCCCACAGTCAGCATGGCCTTGATGGTTTCGGTGCGATCATCTGGCAAACATAGATGTGCAAACCAATGGAAAATAATCTGGAGTATTTGTGGCATGCTTCATAACATATATATCAGTGAAGATATCACTTACATAGCTTATGATACCATTAAAGATGTCACATATATGCCTTATGATACCACTGATGATATCACTTATATGCCTTATGATACACTGATATCACTTATAAGCCTTACGATGCAGCTGATGATATCACATATGCCTTATGATACACCTGAAGATATCACTTATATGCCTTATGATACAGCTGATGACATCACACATGCCATATGACACAGCTGATGATATCACCAACATAACTTATGATATCACTGATGATATCACCTATATAACTTATGATATCACTGATGATATCACCTATATAACGTAGATATCACTGATGATATCACCTATATAACTTATGATATCACTGATGATATCACTTTATAACTAATGATACAGCTGATGATATCACTTATATAACTTATGATATCACTGATGATATTACCTATATAACTTATGATACACTGATGATATTCCCTATGTAACTGATATCACCTATATAACTTATGATACAGCTGATGATATCACCTATATAACTTATGATATCACTGATGATATACCTATATAACTTATGATACAGCTGATGATATCCCTATATAACTTATGATATCACTGATGATATCACCTATGTAACTTATGATATCACTGATGATATCACTTATGGCACCACTGATGATATCACTATATAACTTATGATATCACTGATGATATAACCTATGTATCTTATGATATCACTGATGATATCACTTTATAACTAATGATACAGCTGATGATATCACCTATATAACTGATGATATCACTGATGATATCACCTAATATATAACTTATGATACATCTGATGACGCCACTGTTAATATCACTGACGATACAACTGAGGATACCATTGATCATATCTTCAAGATAAAACTCATGTGCCACTGATGATAGCACCGATGATAATCTAACAGTTACGTGTAGAAGATGTTCCAGGAGGAAACAGTATTTTTCTCTATTTGCTTTTTAGTGCCCCTCTCGGCAGTATTTCGGTTATATGAGTGAATCAGTTTAGATTTATGCCGCTTTTAGCAATATTCCAGCGATATCACGGCGGGGAAGACCAAAAATGGGCTTCACATATTTTACCCATGTTGAGAATCGAACCCGTGTCTTCGGCGTGACGAGCGAACGCTTTAACCACTAGGCTACTCTACCGTGCCAGCTGAATACTTACACTGAGATGAACATCGTGGGCCATGCCAACCATGTTTACATCCGAAGATACATTCACCACTTTTCCTGTGACAATCACTCTGTGTCATCACTGAAGACTGATCTTCTAGGGTGAAAGGATTCCGACGACAGTTAGTGCTGCATGTGTTGTAGCAGCTATTCCCGTAGTAGGAGTCTACACATCCAGACACACAGGATGGGCCCAGCTGACAATATCCTCCATCACAACCACCTGGACATGCTGTACAGTTACCTCCTGGACTGTCACATGGGATGTTGCATCTCTGGCCTTGATATCCTGGCACACAACCTTCGGTGCACCGTCCACTACCGTCGGCAGATTGATTACACAGGTAGCCTTTACAATGACCATCGCACACAGAGAAACATTTCAGATCAAAGTACCCCGTGTCACACTCAGTGAGGCAATGTCCCGTCGTGTTGTCACAGTCTGAACAGTGCTGGTTGTCCAAACACGGGCCAGCTGAAAATATTAACGGTTTTGATGAAATGCCACACACCGATAGTTACACAGTGAGGTGCAATCGTACTAATATTACATTTTCTTTATTTCCTTAAAGTAACAGACAGTATTAGAAAGATTAGGAGACTATATGAACTATGACACGGAGGGGCCCGAATTCCTACATTAGTAGGTCATAACAAATGAAAAACATTCAAAGGTTGACACATTTGAGACAAACACAACTAATCAGCTTACCTTTTGTTGCAATTACCATGAACGCAATGCTCAGGAAAACAAAGAAGGCCATACTGTGTCTGAAATGGAGACAAAAGACAGGGGAAAGTCATGCTGCGTCTGAAATGCAGACGAACGACCGAGAACGTCATACTGTGTCTGAAATGTAGAAAAACGACCGAGAACGTCGTACTGTGTCTGAAATGTAGACAAACGACCGAGAACGTCGTACTGTGCCTGAAATGTAGACAAAAGACCGAGAAGGTCATACTGTGTCAGAAATGTAGACAAACGACCGAGAACGTCATACTGTGTCTGAAATGTAGACAAAAGACAGAGAAGGTCATACTGTGTCTGAAATGTAGACAAAAGACAGAGAAGCTCATGAAGTGCCTGAATTGTAGAGGAAAGGCAGAGGTCACACTGAGTCTGAAATGTAGACAAAAGACAGAGAAGGGCATACAGTGTCTGGAATGTGAACAAAAGATAGAGAAGGTCATACTGTGTCCGAAATGTAGACAAAAGACAGAGAAGGTCAAACTGTGTCTGAAATCTGGACAAACGACCGAGAAGGTCATACTGTGTCTGAAATGTGGACAAACGACCGAGAAAGTCATACTGTGTCTGAAATGTAGACAAAAGACAGAGAAGGTCATGAAGTGTCTGAAATGTAGACAAAAGACAGGGGAAAGTCATGCTGCGTCTGAAATGCAGACAAAAGATAGAGAACGTCATACTGTGTCAGAAATGTAGACAAACGAAAGAGAACGTCATACTGTGTCTGAAATGTAGACAAACGACCGAGAACGCCATACTATGTCTGAAATGTAGACAAAAGACAGAGAAGGTCTCACTGTTTCTGAAATGTTGACAAATGACAGATGAGGTCATGAAGTGCCTGAATTGTAGAGGAAAGGCAGAGGTCACACTGTGTCTGAAATGTAGACAAAAGACGGAGAAGGTCATACCGTGTCTGAAATGTAGACAAGAGACAGAGAAGCTCATGAAGTGCCTGAATTGTAGAGGAAAGGCAGAGGTCACACTGTGTCTGAAATGTAGACAAAAGACAGAGAAGGGCATATTGTGTCCGAAATGTAGACAAAAGACAGAGAAGGTCATACTGTGTCCGAAATGTAGACAAAAGACAGAGAAGGTCAAACTGTGTCTGAAATCTGGACAAACGACAGAGAAGGTCATACTGTGTCTGAAATGTGGACAAACGACCGAGAAAGTCATACTGTGTCTGAAATGTAGACAAAAGACAGAGAAGGTCATGAAGTGTCTGAAATGTAGACAAAAGACAGGGGAAAGTCATGCTGCGTCTGAAATGCAGACAAAAGATAGAGAACGTCATACTGTGTCAGAAATGTAGACAAACGAAAGAGAACGTCATACTGTGTCTGAAATGTAGACAAAACGACCGAGAACGCCATACTGTGTCTGAAATGTAGACAAAAGACAGAGAAGGTCAAACTGTGTCTGAAATGTAGACAAAAGACAGAGAAGCTCATGAAGTGCCTGAATTGTAGAGGAAAGGCAGAGGTCACACTGTGTCTGAAATGTAGACAAAAGACGGAGAAGGTCATACCGTGTCTGAAATGTAGACAAGAGACAGAGAAGCTCATGAAGTGCCTGAATTGTAGAGGAAAGGCAGAGGTCACACTGTGTCTGAAATGTAGACAAAAGACAGAGAAGGGCATATTGTGTCTGAAATGTAGACAAAAGATAGAGAACGTCATACTGTGTCAGAAATGTAGATAAACAAAAGAGAACGTCATACTTTGTCTGAAATGTAGACAAACGACCGAGAACGCCATACTGTGTCTGAAATGTAGACAAAAGACAGAGAAGGTCATACTGTGTCTGAAATGTAGACAAAAGACAGAGAACGCCATACTGTGTCTGAAATGTAGACAAAAGACAGAGAACGTCATACTGTGTCAGAAATGTAGACAAAAGACAGAGAAGCTCATGAAGTGCCTGAATTGTAGAGGAAAGGTAGAGGTCACACTGTGTCTGAAATGTAGACAAAAGACAGAGAAGGGCATACAGTGTCTGGAATGTGAACAAAAGATAGAGAAGGTCATACTGTGTCCGAAATGTAGACAAAAGACAGAGAAGGTCAAACTGTGTCTGAAATCTGGACAAACGACCGAGGAGGTCATACTGTGTCTGAAATGTAGACAAAAGACAGAGAAGGTCATGAAGTGTCTGAAATGTAGACAAAAGACAGGGGAAAGTCATGCTGCGTCTGAAATGCAGACAACAGATAGAGAACGTCATACTGTGTCAGAAATGTAGACAAACGACCGAGAACGCCATACTGTGTCTGAAATGTAGACAAGAGACAGAGAAGGTCATACTGTGTCTGAAATGTAGACAAAAGACAGAGAAGGTCATACTGTGTCTGAAATCTGGACAAACGACCGAGAAGGTCATACTGTGTCTGAAATGTGGACAAACGACCGAGAAAGTCATACTGTGTCTGAAATGTAGACAAAAGACAGAGAAGGTCATGAAGTGTCTGAAATGTAGACAAAAGACAGGGAAAGTCATGCTGCGTCTGAAATGCAGACAAAAGATAGAGAACGTCATACTGTGTCAGAAATGTAGACAAACGAAAGAGAACGTCATACCGTGTCTGAAATGTAGACAAACGACCGAGAAGGTCATACCGTGTCTGAAATGTAGACAAAAGACAGAGAAGGTCATGAAGTGCCTGAATTGTAGAGGAAAGGCAGAGGTCACACTGAGTCTGAAATGTAGACAAAAGACAGAGAAGGGCATACAGTGTCTGGAATGTGAACAAAAGATAGAGAAGGTCATACTGTGTCCGAAATGTAGACAAAAGACAGAGAAGGTCAAACTGTGTCTGAAATCTGGACAAACGACCGAGAAGGTCATACTGTGTCTGAAATGTGGACAAACGACCGAGAAAGTCATACTGTGTCTGAAATGTAGACAAAAGACAGAGAAGGTCATGAAGTGTCTGAAATGTAGACAAAAGACAGGGGAAAGTCATGCTGCGTCTGAAATGCAGACAAAAGATAGAGAACGTCATACTGTGTCAGAAATGTAGACAAACGAAAGAGAACGTCATACTGTGTCTGAAATGTAGACAAACGACCGAGAACGCCATACTGTGTCTGAAATGTAGACAAAAGACAGAGAAGGTCTCACTGTTTCTGAAATGTTGACAAATGACAGATGAGGTCATGAAGTGCCTGAATTGTAGAGGAAAGGCAGAGGTCACACTGTGTCTGAAATGTAGACAAAAGACGGAGAAGGTCATACAAAAGTCTGAGTGTCTGAAATGTAGACAAAGACAGAGAAGCTCATGAAGTGCCTGAATTGTAGAGGAAAGGCAGAGGTCACACTGTGTCTGAAATGTAGACAAAAGACAGAGAAGGGCATATTGTGTCCGAAATGTAGACAAAAGACAGAGAAGGTCATACTGTGTCTGGAAATGTAGACAAAAGACAGAGAAGGTCAAACTGTGTCTGAAATCTGGACAAACGACAGAGAAGGTCATACTGTGTCTGAAATGTAGACAAACGACCGAGAAAGTCATACTGTGTCTGAAATGTAGACAAAAGACAGAGAAGGTCATGAAGTGTCTGAAATGTAGACAAAAGACAGGGGAAAGTCATACTGCGTCTGAAATGCAGACAAAAGATAGAGAACGTCATGCACTGTGTCAGAAATGTAGACAAACGAAAGAGAACGTCATACTGTGTCTGAAATGTAGACAAACGACCGAGAACGTCATACTGTGTCTGAAATGTAGACAAAAGACAGAGAAGGTCAAACTGTGTGTCTGAAATGTAGACAAAAGACAGAGAAGGTCATGAAGTGTCCTGAATTGTAGAGGAAAGGCAGAGGTCACACTGTGTCTGAAATGTAGACAAAAGACGGAGAAGGTCATACCGTGTCTGAAATGTAGACAAAGAGACAGAGAAGGTCATGAAGTGCCTGAATTGTAGAGGAAAGGCAGAGGTCACACTGTGTCTGAAATGTAGACAAAAGACAGAGAAGGGCATACTGTGTCTGAAATGTAGACAAAAGACAGAGAACGTCATACTGTGTCAGAAATGTAGATAAAAAAGAGAACGTCATACTTGTGTCTGAAATGTAGACAAACGACCGAGAACGTCATACAGTGTGTCTGAAATGTAGACAAAAGACAGAGAAGGTCATACTGTGTCTGAAATGTAGAGGAAAGACAGAGAAGGCCATACTGTGTCTGAAATGTAGACAAAAGACAGAGAAGGTCATACAGTGTCAGAAATGTAGACAAAAGACAGAGAAGCTCATGAAGTGCCTGAAAATGTAGAGGAAAAGGTAGAGGTCACACTGTGTCTGGAAATGTAGACAAAAGACAGAGAAGGGCATACAGTGTCTGGAATGTAGACAAAAGATAGAGAAGGTCATACTGTGTCCTGAAATGTAGACAAAAGACAGAGAAGGTCAAACTGTGTCTGAAATCTGGACAAACGACCGAGGAGGTCATACTGTGTCTGAAATGTAGACAAAAGACAGAGAAGGTCATGAAGTGTCTGAAATGTAGACAAAAGACAGGGGAAAGTCATGCTGCGTCTGAAATGCAGACAACAGATAGAGAACGTCATACTGTGTCAGAAATGTAGACAAACGACCGAGAACGCCATACTGTGTCTGAAATGTAGACAAGAGACAGAGAAGGTCATACTGTGTCTGAAATGTAGACAAAAGACAGAGAAGGTCATACTGTGTCTGAAATCTGGACAAACGACCGAGAAGGTCATACTGTGTCTGAAATGTGGACAAACGACCGAGAAAGTCATACTGTGTCTGAAATGTAGACAAAAGACAGAGAAGGTCATGAAGTGTCTGAAATGTAGACAAAAGACAGAGAAGGTCATACTGCGTCTGAAATGTAGACAAAAGACAGAGAACGTCATACTGTGTCTGAAATGTAGACAAACGAAAGAGAAAGTCATACCGTGTCTGAAATGTAGACAAAAGACAGAGAAGGTCATGAAGTGTCTGAAATGTAGACAAAAGACAGAGAAGGTCATGAAGTGCCTGAATTGTAGAG